TTTTTTAAATGTAGAGTTCAAACTTAGACCACTTTGGGCGGTCCCTGTGGCTCAGTGGGTGGGGCACCGGCCCTATATACTGAGGGAGGTAGGTTCAAACCCGGCCCCAGTCAAACTGCCACAAAAAAATAGCCAGGTATTGTGGTGAGCACCTGTCGTTACAGCTACTCAGGAGGCTGAGGCAAGAGAACGGCCTAAGCCCAGGAGTTGGAGGTTGCTGTGAGCTGTGTGACGCCACGGCACCCTACCAAGGCGATAAAGTAAGATTCAGTCTCTACAAAAAAAGAAAAAAAAAGCTTAGACAACTTTGACTACAAATGATCCTGAACTCCCATGGCACTTAATAGATATGTTAAAAAAAACGTACAATGAACATCACATCTCAAATTTCAGGTTACAAAGAGAGAGAAGGCCTTATCTGTGGGGGGTGGGGGAGGATAAAAAAGAATGATAACACAATAAATAAAGTTGGAACAAGTCATTCCTTAAAAAATGATAAAGTTGGGCCGCATCTGTGGCTCAGTGAGCAGGGCACCGGCCCCATATACTGAGGGTGGTGGGTTCCAACCTGGCCCTGGCCAAACTGCAACAAAAAATAGCTGGGCATTGTGGCAGGCACCTGTAGCCCTAGCTACTCGGGAGGCTGAGGCAAGAGAATCACCTAAGCCCAGGAGTTGGACTAGAAGTTGCTGTGTGTAGTGTGATGCCATGGCACTCTACCAAGAGTGACAAAATAAGAGTCTGTCAATACCAAAAAAAAAAAAAAAAAAAAGATAAAGTTAGCCAGGCACAGTGGTGTGCTACAGTCCCAGCTACTTGAGGCTGGAGGATCCCCTGAGACCAGGAGTTCAAAGCCAGCCTGTATAACATATCCAGATCTTATCTCTAAAGAAAACCAAGTCAGATACTTACACAATTCACTATAATAAATTATGAAACAATTACATGTTGAAAAGAAAAATGTACTGAGATTTGACTAGCTATAAACAAAAACCACATCAAATTAGGAAACAAAAATAACAAATTAGTATCTCTAATAATGTATACAGATAAGCTGGGGGTTATGGCTTATACCTGTAGTCCCAGTACTTTGGGAGGCCTAGGTGGAAGGATGGCTTGAAGCCAGGAGTCCCAGACCAACATGGTTAATATAGTGAGATCCCCTCTCTTCAAAAAGTAAAAAAATTAGCCAGGCATGGTAATATGTGGCTGTAGTCCTAGGCACTCTGGGAGGATAAAAAAGGAAAATCATTTGAACATAGGACTTTGAAGCTGCAGTGAGCTATGATTGTGCCGCTGCACTCCAGTCTAGAATGAAAGATAGAGACCCTTTCTCAAAAACATACCTAGGGTCCCAATTTTAAAAGAACTTTTTGTAAAGCATACATACTTTCTGAAACTGCAACAGGAAAAAGCCATAACCTTCCCTGGTAATTTTGCTTTTTTCTCTATTTCCAAAAACTTTTCTGTGAAGTGATGGGAAACCGACTTCTATGTTAGACAAACTGAATTCAGTTCAACCTCACTGTTGCCCTGGGTAGTGTTGTGGTATTCACCTAGCTGACAGCAACCTGGGTTCAAATTATCCTCCTGCCTCAGCCTCCTGAGTAGCTGGGACTACAGGTGCCTGCCATGATACTCGGCTAGTTTTTCTATTAATAGAGACAGGGCCTCACTCTTGCTCAGGCCAGTTTCAAACTCCTGAGCTCAAGGGATCCTCTTGCCTTGGTCTCCTAGAGCAGGCGTCCTCAAACTACGGCCCACTGGTTGTTTTTGCCACCGCTGCTGGTCCTGCTTAGCAGCCCACTCGTCCCAGGGCCCAAAGGTCTGAGGGACAGTGAACTGGCCCCATTTAAAAATTTTGAGGACCCCCTGTCCTAGAGTGTTAGGACTACAGGCATGAGCCACTACACTGAGCCCACTCCAACTAGTTAACATTTTTATCACATGCTAGTGTTTTTTCCTATTTTACTTCCTTTTGTTCACAGTTATTACTCTGATGAACAAAAGGTAAAGGCAACATACTAGTCTCGGTTTCACACTCCTAATGCCATCAATTTCTCAAGGCAATTTTTTCTACTTTATTAATATAATCTCGCAATCTATTAATCATTTCTTTAGCAATTATAGAAAGCAAGTGTCACAGGATTACTTCAAGGTACAAAAATTTTCTTATTGTTCTGATTTATGTTTGGATGAGGCCCTGAAATTATACCAGATAATTCCAAGGATGAACCAAGGTTTGAAAACTATTGCTTTAGATCTCAAAAGTAATTTGCTTGAAACTTTGCAAAAGAGAATGAGAAAGCCATAGCTTTTGGACAGATTTTTTACAAGTACACGTTACCTAAGAATAGCTTCCTCATTTGAGTCAAGGTTTCTCATTGGGAAAACAGAAAAATCTATGTTCACAAGGTTACAATGTTCAAAGCTTATTATCTAGCTGTGCATGAGACAGAGTATGAAACTTAATGACCCACTTGGATTATAAGAGCTTTGAGGCAAAATTCTAATACATAAATTCAACAAAAATTAAACCTTAATAAACCAAAGGTACTAACACAGGTATAAATGCAAATACACGTACAGGAAGCATATACTATTTTCCTGTTGGGGAACATGATCAAAAGTTAAGCATTATTCCATACCATTTAGAACGTCATTTACACTTCAGTTGTCTCTAAATATAGGGACACAGTCTTTAAAACACATCTCAGTCCAGCATATAGCAAATTTAAACTAAAAAATAAGTTTGACTACTGAAACAAATAGCTAGTAGCTCACAGCTGAGTTTAGGGTATTTGAGTTCAACTGTTAACTCTTTCTAAGCTGCTACATCCACGTCTGTTTGTTCCCCCCTGTGAGTCACCGTTTTAGCTATTACTATCACACAGTGCCTACCTTGGAAATGGATGGCACTCCACCAATGTTAGCTATTCAATCTTAGACTTTTTAACCAAGTAAATTACGTAGTAAAGTTTTAAATAAAACTGGGAAAGCTCATTCAGGAAGCAGAGACCAGATATAGGCTGGGTGCTGTGGTTCACACCTCTAACTACTCTGGGAAGTGAAAGCAGGACTGCCTGAGGTCACGAGTTTGAGACCTGTCTGAGCAGGAATAAGAGCCCGAAAATAGAAAAATTAGGTGGGCAAAATGTGTTGCCTGTTGTCCCAGCTTCTGGAGAGACGGAGGGAGGAGAATCACTAGAGCCAGGAGTTTGAGGTTGCAAAAATCAATGATGGCATCACTGCACTTTAGCCTGGGTGACAGAATGAGATCATCTCTTTACCCCATAAAAAGACAACATACAAGCTTCTTGTATTTTAAGTCAGAATACTGTTACTTAATTTTCTTAAAATGTATATGGAAATCCATGGCTTTACCTCAGTATAAATTATGTAACAAAGCCAAATTTAGTGTGAAAACACATCTACCTAGAAAACGTTTGGCTCCCAGAGTTCTTTGTGGATTGCTTGAGAATCACTAAAGATTAACCACTCATTTACATATTTTTATTTGGAAATGTTTATATCAGTACAGTGAAACTAAATGTTTGACATGAGATGTCAACAGTTTAGATATCATCAGTTTATTATAAAAGAGACATGGAAATTATTTACATGATGCAAGATTTCAGAACTTCAGTGGAATGGGCAGCTTCATGTCAATGCCATTTCAATAGTGATTTATTTCAGTCTACATACTTTCCAAGAATGTCACCATCTCTAAATAAGAAATAATCCTGCAAACAAAGATACTACAGTTAGGACAGTTTATGTAACATATTTTAGTTCTTTTTTATAATTGTTAATTTTACATACCTTGTCATCTAGAACTACTTTAGTGCCTCCATATTCTGGGAGAAGAACTTTATCCCCAACTTTCACACTAACTGGTTGAATCTCTCCACCCTTAAGATAAAGATATTTATTAGCAAAAATATCTAGTTCACAAATATCTACAGTCAACGTTTAAATCATTACAATTAATGAAATATGCTCCCTCAAATCCAACATGTTGAACATGTACTTCATGGCAAAGTGATATAATTTATTTAGAATTGCAGTTCTTTACTGAGAAGCATCACAGTACAATTAAACTTTGAAATAATGAACACACAGTGGCTTAAACTAAAACCTGATTTCAGTGTAAAAGTTTAAAAGAGTTATGCTGGAAAAGCTAACTTTAACTAAAACTAACTTTATACTTGTTAAATATTAACATAACCTATTGACTATGCTAAGTAAATCAGCTTTTAAACCATGCAGAAATAGCCATTTGTCTTGCAAAATACAAAAATTTAAGATAAATACAAATAATTTAAGATAAATTTAAGATAACTTTTTTGTATTTAGAACAAACATTTCTTCTGTGATTCAGTTTTCTTTCCTACAAAGTACCACTCTGGCAAGTGGGACTGAAGCAGAGTGCCATGTCCCCAAAGCCTTTCTATTCCTGACTCCAGGTAAAACTGTTTAGTAGCACTTTTTAGGGGCAAATGAAACAATGTAATTAACATATTTGACCCCAAGGGCATTTACTGTATATTTTGGCTGACACTGAAATCTAACCAGTTTATTGGAAAACACCTGGAAGATGAGTTCAACCTGTTCCTTTCATATGTATGCCAATTAAGGCCTCAAATGGTTAAGATTAAGGCAATTCCTGTATGTTAGAGGTTAAACCAACAGTCCCAAACTCCCCTCAAGTTAGTTTTGTCAAAAATATAGAATTTAAAGAAAACACTGGTCATCCTAGACTACCAAACGGCTATTGAAAGTAATTTTAATATTCTGAAATCATCACATAAAATAAGCACATTGCATTGACCATATAAGACAAGCTATTTTATTGTACAACCATTTTACTTAAAAGACAGACAACAGTTGAACTAAGGAATGAACCTGAAGATGATACAGGCTACTTCCAATAACTCACAGTTTCTTATTATTTTCCCTTCACACAAAAGAATGAACAGTTCCATTGTGGCCCCATTTACCTTTCCTTTAGAGCCTGACCCAACAGCCACTACTGTTGCTTGCAATACTTTTCCTTGAGATTTTTCTGGAAGCATAATGCCTCCTTTGGTTACAGTTTCGGCTGCACACCTTTCCACCAATACTCGATCGAAGAGTGGAAGAAACTTTCTAAATGCTTGTCCTGCCTGCAGAAAGAGAAACGTTAAAGAGTTAAACAAAACTATGTAAACTAAATCTCAACGGGCAATGCCAGCCTTAAGTGTGATGTCGCAAACACGTTTAGGCTTTGAAAATTAACAGAAAACCTTAAGTTTATTCCTTCAGGAAACACACGTGAATGTTCTATCCTATATTCCAAATTTAAATACCCCATTCCTTACGTCTGTTAAGGATCCTTGTTGCTTCTTTACTCAGCAACCAGACCAATTTTCTTTCTTTTTCGATTTAACTTCAAAGTAACCCCAGACTAGATCCAAGGCTAATCTTGTTTATTACAAGGTCAAATATTTTCCATATTCGAGTTTTCTTCTGGAAACTTCCAGAAAACGATAGGGTCACACTCTGCCTGGGGGGCATGCTTTCTCCAAAATATTACACACCCACTAAAGCTCTGCAGAAGCAAGTGGAGAGCCGAGCGTTCGTCCAGGTTCCCGCCCCCTGCCCCACATGCCTGCAGCATTGGCGCGTGCAAAGAGCCCTCGGCAGAGGCAAGGGTCGAACGTACATTGCCTCTCCAAGGGTATGAGTGGGCATGCACTGATCACCGAGTGCCGCCCCCCAATCCCTCCTTTCAGGCCCCCAAAAGGGCGTCCAGGATGCCCGTACCGACCCGGCCCACGCGCCTAGGGCCCACCCTGGACTCACCATGGTTCCCAACTCCGTAGCCACCACTCTACTCTCGCCGCGCCGCTGCAAGGAGAGACCCGTAATCCGGCCCTCGGGACACGTGAAAAGGCCAAGCAGCGCGCAGGCGCGCTCGCTCCCGCCCCTGCGCCCCTCCCCGCGAGAGAGGGTGGCTGCCCTATCGCGCGCCGCGATTCGTCCCGAGAGCTTCGCGCAGGCCGCTGACGCGGAGCCGGGAGGCGGGAGAAAAAAGGAGCTCCTTCTAGGCTTTTCTAGGCGGCCAGCCGAGGTGAAAGAACTATCCCTTCGTCCTCTCCCGGAAATGACGTGATTTGACCCTTGACTCGCAGAGAGCGCCGCGCTTTCCGGAAAGTTCTGGAACGGTGCGCGGCCCGGGAACTAGCCTAAGCTGGCCAGAGAGGGCCGGGCCACTGGGCTCAGCCCCGCGCGGGTATGGAGGGCGGGGCTGGCGCGCGGAATGTGCTGATTGCTGGGCCCGGCCGCCGGGAAGGGGGAGGGAGCCGCCCGCACACGCGGTGCCGCGGGGCGGGAGAAGAGGCGGAGGGAGGGGACACGGGTTCATTGCCGTGTGCGCCCTGCACTCTGTCCCTCACTCGCCGCCGACAACCTGCCACGCCGCGCGCACGCCCTGCCGCCGCCCCGCAGGTACGCGGCCGCCCCGCGCCGCCTCCCCCAGACTCCAGAGACTCCGAGCAGATTTTCTTCTGCTGCGGTCCAGCCAAAGTGGGCCGGTGGCCGAGAGCCTAGACTTCCGCTCGGCGCTGCAGGCAGGCCCAGGCCCGCTGGCCCAGGCCTCCTGAGTCCATGCGGTTCTCATCACGTGCGGCGCGGATCCGGGGCAGGGCGCGGTTGGAAAGGCTTGCCCAGGAGGTGGCATCTGAGGGAGAGCTGTACCTCTTAGGCCCTTTGGTGCAACCCTCTCCTGGCCGACTTCAGAGCATGGGGGGGGGGGTCGGGTCCGGGAAGAAACCGCTTTATACCCCGCAGTCAGCGGGGATACTGCACCTCCTTTCCTGACCTTGTGGGGTGCGACCTGAAGGAAAGACACGTGTGGCCTCGCGGAGTGGGCCGGCCCGACTCCCTCAGCACCGCGGCCTTGGTGGCTGCTCTGATACAGTAGCCACGGGTGGATACATGGAGACACTTTGCTGAGCTGCTTTTTGCATCTTCAGGAATACTTTTCTTGCCAGATCACTCGGATTTGTAATCCTCCACCTTCCTTCTACCTTGATTTTTCAGGAGACACATTTGGAATGAGTGTTCTTTGAAGGCCGTTGTAGCAGTGAAAGATTAACTCTTTTTTTGGCGGCAGAAGTAGGTAGTCATTGGGGAAGGAGTTGCGAGTAATGGATGCTAGTACTGATGTTATGAAACTGCGTCGAATTTGGTCGCCAGGGCGTAATAGCGGTTGGAGTAGGCCAGGCTCAAGTCTAACATTGCTTTTTCTCCTGCACAGGTGGATACGTTTGTCCAGGTCTAGTGCTAGAACTGATCATCTCCTTGTTTTCTCCCTCAGAAATGCTTCGATTACCCACAGTTCTTCGCCAGATAAGACCAGTGTCCAGGGCACTGGCTCCCCATCTCACTCGGGCTTATGCCAAAGATGTAAAATTTGGTGCAGATGCCCGAGCATTAATGCTTCAAGGTGTAGACCTGTTAGCCGATGCTGTAGCCGTTACAATGGGGCCAAAGG